TTGATGCATGTAGTGCATTTAGGCTCTACTATGAGATTTCCTTTTGAAAACTAATGTCATAACTAATATATTATTTATTTTCATTTCCACTGACTGAGCCTCTCCTGGAACTGTTTGTAAAACCCCCTGGGGAGGCTTGCCTCCAACTTTGAAAACGTCTGCTCTAGATAGGCATATCTACCCCTGGCCCCTTTTATCTCTTTTCACGCTGCTTTTGTTAGGATGATTTTATTCCAAAGAAACAAAATAACAAGTCTAGAAGACCAAAAGAGTCCTGTATTATGGATGATTTCCACCTGTCTATCTATAGTGTTCCTGGCCAAAACCTTCCAGTAAACTCAGTTTAACCTTTAGGAGTTTTTTGCTGGTTTATGATACTGTATGCTGCCACAAGGTAAATACATTTCAGAAGAGTTGAAAGCTTCTTTATTGCAGAAATGGACCCGAGTCATCTGTCAAGCAGCCAAGAAATATGGTGTCACAGAATTGCTTGTTGATGGTGAAACAGTATTAAACGCGGTTGCAGTCTGAGAAAATCTTTCCATGTTCCTAAAATGACACACATCAAAGAGCTTGAAAGGAGAGAGTGTGAGTGCATGACTGAAAAACAGACTGAAGGAATCCCTTTAGACCTTTTTCACAGCAGCCATTTAACAGGAAATAGGGTAACGGGTGTTACCAATGATACTGATTAAGGCTCCATTACATTCAGGTCAAACAGAGGTTATTGCGCATGTTGGTTCACTGAAAAGACTGCTACACTTAACAGAATGGGACCTGAATTAGTGTCATTGGTAATTCCGATGTTTACCCTACTATTTCATGTCAAAATTGCAGCTGTGAAAATGGTCTATTGGGAATGTTGCATCTGATAAAAGTATAAAAACGTGACTGGCCAGATGTGCGATAAGGTTTTAAACCTCTCTCTTTTTATTCTTCACACAATCATTTGTGCCACTTTGCGTATGTACAGCCAAGTACAACACCATGAGGACCTTTGGGAAGATACACTACAAAATACAAATCATATCTAGCATTTACAAAAATTGACACCATCTGCAGATAATGTTTGGCAATTCCACTAACTGGTTTGTAGCATTCACTAAAATAATCACTAAAATAAGGCAGAGGTGGCTGTGATGGCTGGGCCACATAAATGAATCATGCTGATTACAACCCAAACTTGAGATGAACTCAAAATTGCTCAATATGTTTCCAAGGATAGGAAACAACGGAGGGCGCTCATTGTGGCCTCATGTTGCACAGTGGATGAACATTAACTGAGTGTGCATGCTTCATGCTAACAACAAGTGATAAAAAATGTATGCTAAATTGTTAGCACACAATCCTGACAGAGACTGTAATTGTGGAGAAATGCTGAATCTCAATGGGTTCCTTGATATAAAAAACTGTAACATTTAAAGGACCACACCAGTAATTTGCAGAGATCATTCAAGCCAATTCCAGGTGTCAATCAAATCAATGGAAACAAATGGGCATGACCTCAGCTGGATGCAAAATACTTTTTATGCAAAATTTCACATATAGTTTTCAAAATAATCTAAATGTTGTTTCCTATCCTACATCCTACAACTTTCTTAAGAATACCTTCAAAATAAAAAAAATATAAAATTATAATAATTTGTTCTGTATATGAGAGAATACTCTGACCTAGTTAAACTAGTGAATGGTGAGAGAAATCCTCCTTTGGTACAGTTGATGAACGGGTCATTTAGCCTTAGTGAACAGCGACATCTAGTGGTCTAATTGCATTCTGTCCCCCCCAGAGTTGAGGATAGTCACAGGAGAGGAGGTTCAGTTTCTTCAGCCTTTAAAAAAATTAAGCCTGAGACACTTTAACAAGATAAAAGACAAATGGATTGTTGACAAAGATATAAAATTAAAGATTTTAAACAGTATTATCTCCATAAGGTCAGTGCTTTCTAAAAGGGTTGATTTTCTTCTTCAAGGGGTTCCACAGGATCCTTAAACAGTTTCAGGAGTGTTACTGGTCTGCAGTACATGAGGTGGTAGGAGTTATTGGGGTTCAACACATGCCTGAGAGGTTCCTAAGGGTCTTTAGTTGCTTTTCAGAAGTCTACTTTTGATGTGTTTCCAGTGAGTAAAAAGTGGCATTGTTCCTTATTCTCACTGTGACAAACCTATCTCAAGAACAATTAAAGAAAACCAACAAATAATGTATCTTCCTCTACAGTATGGGACTAAATATGATCAAATGGGGCCTCACGCATGTCCATTTGGGGGTTGAGGACGTAACATTTCAGCAGCCCTGCATGAGGTCATTAAACATGAGTTCAAAACAGAATCACAGTTTTGATGCTTATGGCACTTGTTTTCTCTCCTCTGGCCAGCCAACAGATAGGAGAATTGATTTCCTAACAGCAGCCATCATTTGGCGCTTGGCTGAGCCGCAGATGATTGATGAGCCACAGTAATGACAAACGAGGGAGAAATTAACAGGGAGACACAATTTACATAATGTCCTATTAATCACTGTGACAGAGGGACAGAGGTTGTGATGGCAAGGGAAAATCCATGACATTTATTTATTTATCTATTTATGTTTTAGATGTACCACAAGACCAAAGGCTTTGTGTGCAGTTGTGTAAGGAGTGTGCAATGGTGTTGTACTTCCAGGCGCACTATATCCTATATTGTTATGATGTTTTTTGCGTTGTCTGATCCGGAAAAGGGATTTTAAGTACTATAATACAATTAATTAACTAAAATCATTACTAAGCATAACAGATGTAATCAAGAAAATTAAAAGTAAAATTACCTACATTATTAAAAAAGAGCATAAACGGGACATTTTAATCCCGTTATTTATTTATTTATTCATAAATAATATATTATAAAATATGAATCGGTTGATTATAAATTATTTAAAAAAATACTTCAGAAAGAGGAGTTAATTAACTTGTGAGTCATTGCAACACTTCCGGTAAGCGATGGTGTGTTTAAGGGTGTAAAAGGCCTGAACATTTTGTACAGTTACCGTATATTCGAGTTAATGTTTTATAGTAAACCAGACATGTCACTCGTTTTCCAAAATTCAACAAAGATGTGATTTATTTTCATTTAGGTTGGGATCAAGTCAAATGCGCGGTCGACTTCCCCTTTAACTCTCAGCGTCGACCTCTTTAATCTCACAACAGAACTCAATTCTCCCATGAACCCAAAACGCAACAGCCGCACGTCATCTCGATACCCGCCAAATTTGTAAAGTGCGGAAAGCGCAACAGCGAAACACGAGCCGTTTCAGTGTTTTTAACATATTTGTTGGACTACTACTTTTTTTTCGTAAACTACCCCTCTTCAGAATGTCTCAACAGGCAGGTTATTCGCCCAACTTCAAGCGACCGGCTGAAATTATGCGAATGAGGAGGAAAAGAGCACGAAGCGAAGCCGGTGTCTTCGCTAGTCCGAGCGGCCACGGTCCTACTGGCAGTCCCGGATCAAGCGACTCATCGCCGGGATGCGTTCGGCCCTTCTCCCCGGGACCGCTTTTCAACACCCAGAATCGCTCGGGAGGTGGCGTAAAACGCAGGAACCCCTTCGCGAATATTGAGAATACCTACAGCCCCAAAAAGAAACTCCTCATTTATAACGACGACGGTGATGCCGAAGCTGCAGCCCAGACCGATAAGTCTACCGAAAAGGAGGGAGAGGAGGACGTGTCAACAAAGACCGAGGCTCCGGGAGTTTTACCTTTCAGTTCGAGGTTGACTGAGGTAGAAAAACAGGAGCGCCAAAGCATTTCCAACAAGGTAAAAGTGTCTAATGTTATCCAGAGGCCAATTCAGCTTTTAAAAAATCACACTACCGTTAGCTGAAGTTACCGATAAGAGTATTCAATGCAGAACTCCCTTTAAAAAACATTCAATTTAAACCTTCGCGACACTGAACACTGCTGCGCCTGTGTGCACTAAAAGTTATTACTTTATTCAAATGATCGCATATTTTTGTAATTTCATGGCGCCGAATTGAACCATACAATTGTTTAAAGCTCGTATAACAATATGTACTTACATCCATTAGCCTTTGTTGATTAAAATATAGCAGTTTATTAAATTTCCATATTTTTGATAAGAGACTGGAATGGAAATGAATTGTCTTGCTTAACATGCTGAACGTTTAAGCTGAGAGTACACAGTTAATTACGTACATGTGTAGGGACCAGAGATTTCCCATATCACTGTAGTTGATATTGTGGTGTCTCTTGGTTATGTATGGGGGGGAAAACTGATGTCTTGATGTCAAGGCAGAGCATAAGTGAATTTAGTTTTACATTTTCATGTTGTCCATTTTCACTTTCTCTGCTGTAGAAGTGTCTCACGTTCTCCGAAGACGACTCTCTGTTTGAAGAAGAGGAGGAAGATGTTAAAAGTCCACTGCTGAAGGTTTAATTGTTTCCTTTCTTTTCACATTTTGATTCATCATGTGCAAACAAAATATCTGTCTCCCTTCATCCTTTTCGTTGTTCTCCTCTCAACTTTTCAAATGTGTATTGAATGTCCCCAGAGTCCCCAGGCCATCGCTCCTGCCTCCATAGCTCCTCCCGTCTGCACAGAGTACCCAGCAGACTGGAGCCTAAAGACTCGCCTCCTCTTCACCTCCCCTCTCACCCTTTCATGGGCAGAGCACCCCAAAGCCCAGGAGCAAGCTCTGGGGCTCAGCCAGCACTGCCGAGCTCAGTTTAGCCCTCTGCCACACATTCTACAGGTATAGTTTTAGTGTTCAAAGCAAGACTGTGGTAGTGGTCATGTTTGTTGAGAATTTCCCCGAGCGCCCGCCGCCAACCCCACCG